CTTTCAAACTGTCGCAGCCACTTGATAATGTGAGTTGTGCATGAGAAACAAGAACAGAAAGGCAAAGCGACATCCGGTGGTCTTGGTCTTCGTCTGTACCGCGCAGTATGTACGTACAGTACCTTGCCCTCTGCACCCCAGTCGTCATTCCATTTCGAGCTGTCCCGACCAATCACCGCCGCCAAATCTCCGGCTTCTTCATCTCGCCGCAACGATCCCTGTCGGTCGCCTACAACCTTGCTACTCAGCTGCTTTACAATCAAGCACCACGGATTTCTGCTTCTGCCTCTGCCTCTGCTTGCTGAGCTGGTGACGGACAATGGCTCATCGGCAGCTTCAAGCAAAACGCTAGGAGCGAAGCAACACCGGACCAAACCAGCACTGAGCGGACCGTGGCCGTGGCCCCGAGCTTGCAATGCAAGGTCTTACTGTTAAAACCAATCAACGCAGTCCGGCGCATCGTCTCGTCAGTCAATACCCACCCCTGACGTATCGCAAGCCGACGATGAGGAGAGTAACATGACATGGAACAATCACTGCCTCCTCCGTTTTGCCTAACGGTTGAGCGACATTATGCCCAACTACCGTTGTTGGACCAGTGGTTGCTCACATCAGCACTTTTCCATGTTCCTGCTCGTTGCGGCAAGTCAGCGGAAAGGAATACAAGCCAGGTACATCCTATGTGCTTACTGCTATCTCCGGAGAACATCATCAACGCGCTAACCCAGCCGATCCGGATCCGAACCAAAAACCAATTCAAATATCTGCGACAAGACCGCCCCGACGACTCAGGACCAAGGTGCAGGAGCGGATTTCTACTAAGCGCACCGAAGCCGCCCTCGCATCGTAGGTGTATGAATGTGTTTCTGCAAGCGGCGATGCGTTGCCCTGCATCCTGCTCCTGGGTCTCGGCTGCCGTGGTCTGCATTGCACAACCTTTACCTATCTTTCTCCCTTTCCGGCCGCCGAATAATTCAAAGATGGATGCAAGAGCCTTTTAGGCACGGAGAGCACAAGAGTATGCATGCACGCGATCAATTGGCGGATGGATTAGCATAGCCTAACCTCTGCTTACTGACCCAGCCCAACCGTGTGCTACCTAGCAACAACATTACATACTGCCCACCACGAGGCAGATCTCTCCTCTAGTACGCCGTACTGCTGCAAACCAGAGCGACAACTACAACACTGCCGACTGGCACCTTGGGGCGGGGTTCCCTTTTCATTCCTCCTCGTCCCAGGCGAATCCCGACCTCTAGGCGGCAACTTGTCGAACCTGACCGTCGCAGTGGCCCGCGGCGAGCCAGCGGTCCGGGATACACCCAAACCCAGCTGTTGCGTTACAGTTGTCCACTCCTGCGTTGCACGCCGTGCTGCTTGCTGATCTGAAGATTGAGGCTGAGCCTCGAACCGTGTTTATTACAGGAAGCAATCGTCGTCATCCTGACCCCCTTCCAATGCCCATCCATCGTCCGTCCCAACCCATATGGCCCTTACACACGCAGGAAAGGGGGGGGAGGAACGGTTCCAGACGCAAGACGCAGGCGCACACGCGGGCCCTCGCTGGGCCTCGCCAAACATTGGAGAAGCTGGTGTTAAATAACGACCCATACTTGGCCCCCCCAAAGGAGAAATTGGCCAAGCATGTGTCAGCCAGGGGAACCCGCGAGAGGTGAGCGAGTCTTTTCCCACCCCAGAGTCGCAAAGTGGCACCCAAGTCTTGTCTTGATGACTGGCGGAGCACGAAACCCGGCGCCTTTTGATGAGCCACCGATGGCCGATGGCCAACTCCAGCCTCTCTCTTCGCAACTTCTCGCTGTGGACTCCGCTCCGTTTCTTGAAATTCGATTGAACCTCAAATAGCAAGCGACCAAGAGGCTCCATCCGTTGGCCCTTGATGGTTCCAAGTGGGAAAGAGAAACGGGTCTCAGGGTTGCATCGTACCCACGGCGCCCGGACAAGATCGCGAATCTTTGCGCCTGTGCCACTAGGGCCTGTTGGGCGTGCGGGATTGAGATGCGCGGTCGACCAAGCCGGTTCCTCACCTGAGCCAAGCTTTCTTTGGTCTGCTGTGTCAAGTTACAGAAGCAACGCTCACGGCCAGACCACCTCCTCTACCGGCGCAATGGGAGGGGGGAAACAGCTTGGGGCCGTGTGAGGCTGCAGCATAATAGCATAACAAGACATAAAAAGTCAGACACACAATCGCATTGCAACATCTGCTTGTAATCCTCCGTTGGCGCAATCTGAGCAATCTGATTCTGAGGCTGAAAGAGATGGCAAAGCGACCCGCGATGAGGCGATCCTATCCAGATCCCCCCTCCCTCCCCCCCTCCACTCAACCGTCCTAGCCACACGGGAAGGGCAGCTTGAAACAAATCTACAGCCGCTACTCTGTGCAATACACAGTAGAGGGCACTCAGTCAGTCACTCAGCGCACCTCGGCAGGGCCAACCTTCCCTCCTCACGCTTGCTCTTGGCAGCCACTTCTGGGATGACCTTTGCTCACAGATCTGTCCGTGTTCTCCTTTTGCGACGGGAAAAGAAGAGTAATGCTTGAATGAACTGCTCACCGCAACCAGGGGACACCGTCGTCGTCGGCCTCGGCAACGGTTGTCATCGTCTAGGGGTGTCCCCTGCGTTCTTCTTTTCTTCCTTTCCAATCACTGGGGCGTAGGTACGGTCACTGCGCCGTTAAAAAACCACCCGACCTTGTTGCCCCCAGGCCCAGGGTCATGCCAAACCCGGGCCGGCCAGCATTGCCAGCAGGTTAGCTCCAAATCTCCCCTCTGCCCATCAACACGCAGTCTGGCCATTCAGCCGAGTCCATCTGCGAGGGAGGCTCCACCGTAGGAGTCGTCAAGCCTCCGAGTCAAGGGGCGCCCACTGGCAATCAGCGTGCTACTACATCGCAATTGGACTATGGAGGAATAGTGGAGGGAAATGCGGACGGGCATTCGGGGCTTACGACATGCCCATTCGGAGGTAGGACGGGGAATGGCGGGCCTTTGCAGGGGATGCAGCCAGCTTTTCTTGCAGCTCTTCTGGCGAGTTTGCGGCATGCTTTCACGGCGCATACGGAGCTCATTGCGCGCCGAGGACGAAGAGGAGGGTGGGGGATGAGGAGAGATTAGACCTCACACGCCGAGCCCTTCATCGCTGCAGGCCTTCCATGAGATCCATGAGGAACGACGCACAAAACGGACGGCACGCGACAGACCAGATGCCAAACATATGACAGGTGGCTCTTACTGATGGCGGTTGCTCTGCTTGTCTACTCTGCTTCCTGGGCTCTCGCTCTGGAATTCTTCCAAGTCGCGTCTTGTTACACGAAATTTGCGCCGGGGATTTCGTGCGACTCAGACTCAAACGCGGAACCAATCTGACCCAACGCTCACATTCCTCCACGCCCGCCAGATTGGTTGGTCTCATCCAATCCAGAGGGCAACTCGAACTTAGCCATGCCCCTCCCGCAAGAAACAGACGGAGGACACCGGATGGGAGGCGGGAAGGCAGGATGTGGCCCTGAGTTGGGGAGCCCACGCCACTGGCTTGCCCTACGCTCGCCGATGGTGCAGAGAGAGAAGTATGCCCATCCCCAAACCTGAGGTCGTCGAAGTAGCAGGAGGTTGGGCTGGGCGGCTTACACGGGACACACGGGTCGAATTAACCTTCTGGGATGATCGCTTTGATCGCGGCCCAAGGTCCTGGAACAGGTTCATCGATGCACCTCTGACCCGGACCGCCGTTTCTGCGAAAGGGTTCCTTGAGCAAAAATTTGGTCCGATGACAAACTCGGCGTGGCTTTGGGAGTGTCCCGAGCGCCTGGGCAAGTCTGGGCCAGCGCAGTCTCCAGGCCGTGACCTTCCATCATCATGTGCAGCAAGAGGGCGGAGACAAGGGACGAGAACTACGCCGTAGACAAACTCCCAGGCCATCCATACTTTCCCAGAGCCGCCCAGGGAAGTCCCTAACTGCGCCGTCATGCACTGCGACCACCGTGACCACGATGTCCCCTATTCCGGACTCCTTCCGACCCCTGAAACCGAAAATCTGAAGAGCATCGGTCTCCAACGGTTCGCGGCTGCTGGCAATCGTCGGGCATCTTCTCTTGGCCGCGTTCCTTTTGGAGGGGGGCCGGGAGTATGGAAAGCTCAGCAGCCCGCTTCCGTTCGTGCCGTCCTTTCTCTGCGGTCATGGTCCTCGATTTGTATCAGGTCTCCGAGATTTTGGCATCCGTCGCCGGTGGTTCCGTAGTCGCATTTCGCATGCCGAGATGACTCCGCCGTTGCGGACACCGAAAGGGCCAGCCAAATCTGTTCGTCTGACAACGACATGCCGAGTCGAGTCATCACCGTTGGCAAATTTCCTTACCGGTAGACATATATCAAGCCAGCGTGCATGGAGCAGGCGGCGCTTGCCTTCTTACAACGGCTTGATGCCTGCTGGCAGGTGTCAGGCGCAGTTGTCGTTCATTTGGGGGAATGTTGTAATCGCCTTTTGGAGGAGCATCCATGTCGCATCTCACCACATGTTGAAACGCGCTGAGGCTGCCACATAGAGACCACCTGCGAATTCCATAGGAATGCTTCTCTTCGTCATTCAACGACCTGTCATGCTTTCAATTAATTACTGCGCCACCGAGTTCTCCCCAGAAACCCAATGCCCATCGGAATTCTATTTGCGCCATATCAAAGAAAGGCTCCTGCTCGTAACAGTGTGATGACATAAGCAAGGGCGAGAAGATGGGAAAGCGCGCGGGCTTAAGTGGTTCCCCACTAAAATGGTCCGCCATTTGGCGACCGACGCGAAAACGGCCTCCTACGCGTCGGACCTTACACCGACGTCCTATTCCATCTGCACCGGCTTCATGCGCAATCATGTGACTGAGCTCATCAACATCGTCGCATTATACACCGTACACCTCGTCTGTCTCGTTCTGAAATCATCAGTGGTTCCCGCAGCGTTGTGCTTATCTGTCTGTCGGTGTAACCTCCGATATGGCACGTCCCAAGGGAAGCAGCGGCCAGGCTGCCGGCGCAACAAACGGTAACCGAGATATTAGGAGTTTCTTCGGTGCGAGACCAGCTGTCAAGAAGACACAAAACACCTTGACTTCGTCACAAGAGACCGGGGCCACCGGTGCTTCTTCTGCATTCCCGGCCTCGTCCCCAGGCGCTGAACTTCCGCCGACCGCATTATCCAGCACTCAAGTTCGAGATGTGAAGCAGGCGCCATCGCCAAGGCAGACGCAAGGCAAACGCAAACGGGCGTCCATGGTCCAGGACGAGAATTCGAAGCCGCCAGCTGATCACTCGGGCGATTCAATCACGGTCAGCATGTCACCGCCCCAGCCTGCTCCAAAAGCGTCAGCAGCAGCCAGTCTTCACACTTCGACTTCGTTATCTGAAATTCGCACCACATCCTCGCTCTTCTCACCCCAGAAGTCCTCGCTTCGCACACCCGGACGTAGGAGTTCGGGAACAAAGGACTCGAATATGCCGCCCTCCGGACGGGCCACTGGCTCGGCGCGGAAGGTCCGGTTCAGTTCTGCGCCCTCCACGCCAGGTCAGTCTTCTGACGTTGAGGCGACGACACCAAAACGACTATTATTTTCGGGAAGCAAAAAGCCTACAAGCGTGAGCCCACCTGAGGCACTTGCTGCCGACCTACCTTCGTTATCATCTTTGAAGAGGAACGACCTGCTCGGCACGCCCAGACGCGGCCAGACAGGACAGGCGGCAGGCAACGACACTCCTAGCAGCCTCCCATCGTTGCCTGACCTTCCCAGCTCTCCAAGTGAGCCAGTTTCCCCGTCGACAGCAAGAAAGCGTACTGCCCTGGACAGGGACGCAGTGATCAAGGGCTCAGATGATGAGGATGACGATGACTCGTTCTCGGACTGTTCTCTGCCAGATCTCGACATGTTGGGCCCGAGGAAACCAGGGGCAGATCCATGCGGCACGCCGCGCGCCAAAAGGAGGGCGATTATGGTTCACAAGTCGCCTTTGACAATTCAGCCGAAGCATAAGTTTGACTTCAAGACGTTGGATGCACACTCAAGAAGACACGACGTCAAGTTCGACAGCCCCAAGCGGTCGCCAAAGGTTGAGGTCAAGGACGAGATCATGGTGGACGCGAGCCCTAGCAGGTCTCGCCAGAAGCTGATTGAGATCGCCGGCGTCAAGACCGAGGAAGACGCAGACAAAGCGATGAAGGCGATGGAGCGAACCAACACATCGGGCTCCAAGACCAGATGGCACTTCTTCAAGGAGGTTGATGCTCAGACTCCTCTGCCCTTCCCAAAAAAGAGCGCCAAGGGGTCCTGGTCGTTCCTCGAAAAGGCAGGAACACGAGATCGACACATCATGTCTGGGATGCCTACCAGTCTGGCGGCGTCTATCGGCCTTCCTGATCAGCTCTACCTCTGGGTTCTGAACATGGTGAATGTCGAAAAGGTTGGCGTCCTGAGAGAGGAATACTGCAGGCTTGCCGCTGCCAACAAGAAACAAGTTAGACGTCTAATCACGCCTAAACAATTGTCAGAGGTTTTTCGTCAACTGGGTGCTGCGGATCATATAGGAGATGAAACGCTGCAGCCAGTTCGCGAAATTCGAGACATTTACGAAGAGCGAGATTGGAAACCTCTCCAGTCATGCCTGGAGTGGCTTCATAATATAGCTCGATATCTTCGGCATGATACCATCGCGTACGCAGTCAATATGCTTCTACGTATGGCGGCTGATAAGATGGTCATCGAGAACCCGGACGTGCTGATGGCACATCAACTTGCCTTGGCCGAACTGGTGGACAAGGTTCAAGATGGCGTCTGGAACGAATTCGTAAGTGAGCCTCCTGAACACGGAGTTTACCATGTTAACATTGCATAGTGCACTGAGATTTGCTCAAGTCTCTATCATGGATTTGACAAGGCTTCACTGCGGATTCTCCCGCTCACATGCATGCCGGTCACCTCGTCAAAGCTACATGAGCTTCGAAGACGCTTGGCTGTCTCGTTCTTCCTCCGGGACGCCGCGCTTGCCGACCAGCACCCAGACACTACCATGTCCCTCCGCCTCGTCATCGCCCGGGTCAAGGACAGCGATTTCCAACTCAGCCGCAAGACCGACTACGCCGACCTCAAGGCGCAGGTCTTGCTCCTGGACATGGCGGTGGACGACGGCTCCTTCACTTCGAACAAGGATGACCGAGAACATGAGAAGAACTTCAACGCCGAGATAGATGACCTGGCTCAGCGTCTTAAAGCTATTTGGCGCGGCATCAATGACACGGGCGCGGCTAACTTGACTCGTACGGAGGCGAAGAGCGTACTTGAATGGGTCGGACAACGCCTGTCATACTCTGTTCGCACTAGGCCCCCACCAACACAGAGCATCTTTGGGGATCAGGGGCCATCTTCAGCCAAGAAGAGGAGACAGCAAGACTTTATGAAGAAGTTTGTGCACGGTCGTAAGAACAAAGAGGTCACGAAAGAAGAATCTTCGGACGCCGACGAGACGTTCGTGAGTGCATTAGGGTAATGATAATGCAATTGTAGTATAACGACAACTACCTAATACGCCAATGGTTGGCCACGATCATACAGCATCTAAGATACACCACAGGAAGGTTTCAAACAGGAGGCGTCAGGAGTCCTTCATGCAGCAATGGTTTATCCAGCCCAGGGAGGGGCTGAAGGGAGGGTTGCAGGGCGCATTTCGGAAAGGGGTTTGGTTACTTTAGTCGGTGAATCTGCGGTTGGGGTTCTTTCCAAACAGAGTCTGTCGCACGGCGGGCAAAGAGGTGTCCTGGAGAAGGTTTAGACGCTCCTCGAATGTGTTGTTGATTTCGATCTTTCCTTGTCCACCAATGATGAAGATTCCTCCGGCGCTGTTGATAGCGTTAGTGATGCTGTCAGATAAGATTCCACCACAATCGCGTGCGTATGTGACATACCTTTCCGCAGGCAGGGGCTCGGACTCGTCAATCTTGGCCGCGGTGTCCTTGCCAACCTCCTTCTTGTACTCCTTGGTCGCCTCCTCGATGGCCTTCTTGACGGCGTCATAGTCGGCTTTCCGCGCGCGGATCTGGACCTCGGGCTCGTTGAGGGCGTAGAGGCCCTCGAGGACGAGGTTCTTGAGGATGCCCTGGTACTTGGCCTTGTCCTTAGTGGCGGCGGCGAGCTTCTTGCGGGCATCCTCAAAGATGTCGTCGAGGAGCTCCTGGCGGGCGCCGAGGACCTTGAGACGGGTCTTGTTGGTGACGGTGGAGCGGGTGATCTGCAGCGACATCTGGGCCTGCTTGAACTTCTTCTCGTACTGGGTGTCGATGGCGTCCGTCTCCTGGCGGACGAGCTTGGACTTTTCGATTGCGAACTCCTCGTTGGCCTTGATCTCGATCTCGCGGGCCTTTTCCATCGCCTCCTGCTTGATGAAGGCCGTCATCTTGCGGAGCTCCTGACCGACCTATTTGGGGGTGAGCCATTGCATCAGTATTTGACCTTGATTGACGGATGCGTTCGGAGGGGGCGCTGTCGTTGGGCCATAGAGAGAGGACGAGGGGAGCTTACTTGGTCGTCGGTCAACGGTGCGTGCGACATGTTGGCGGTTTGGGGGGTGTTGAGCGACTTTCTTCGATTAGGTTATTGGGAACGAGGAGGAGAGGAAGCGATTCGGGATCGCGGGAAGGTCGGGATGAAGCTGAAGAAGCCGTCGAGGTCGTGGGGGGAGGGCGGATGGGGTGCGGGATGGAGAAGGGTCGTGGGTTGGATGAAGCTGTTGTTGACGAGTGTCAATGCTCCAAGCCGCAGCAGCAAGCATCACTGGACGTTCGGCGCCGGCCCAGCTCCAAGCCCAGGACAGGAACCGCTACCGCTACAGCAGGCAGGCAGTAGGGAACAGCCACAGCTGGCGGACACCACGGGCACCTGTCTGACTGGCTCACAGCTGCTGCTGCACCAGTGGAACATTTGCTCCACTTTGGATGCCACAGACCGAACTGGTCTGTGCGCGAGGTGCTCGCTCTGCTGCACCAGCCTCACTTCTCATCAGGGCCAGTGACATCACGCAGGGCCTTCTTGACTGGACACCTCTCTGAAGCAGCCCCCAAGGATGCCCCAGCATGACCAGCGATAAGATTAGCCGACAGCCGGCGGTCAGCTGATGCCGGGCCGAAAAGCATCCGCACCGCCACATGCGCCATCATGGACCTCAGTGACCTTGGGTCCTAACCTGAATAATGCAAGGCGGGAGGCGGGAGGGTCCCCTACTGCGTGGTGCGTTCTGCGCTGCGTTGCGGCGTTAGTGTACCTTGGGGCCCTCACTGGGGGTGTGGGTGCCTTTCCCCCATTCGATTCGCAGCAAGCCAGCAAGCAAATCAATGGAGAGCCGGCATGCCCAGCACTATTTGGGCCAGACCTGACCGACGGGACAGCGGGCGGCCATTGCGTCGTGCATTGCCAACGTACGTCTGTCTGGTGTTTCGAGCTGAGCCATGATCTAACAAAGTGTTCACCGACTCCGGCCATGTGGAAGCTCCGTATTTTATAACGCGCATTAAAAGTACACGCAAACATCTTCAACAATCCTACCCCGTCTGGCGTTTCTGCGTCACTGACCGACCGAAACCGAGCAACGCGATCCTCCCCAGCACTACGTACAATCTCGCTGCAAGCTTGGTCTTGGCGGCTAAAGATCATCATTCGGCCGGGAGTGACCTTTTAGAAGTGGCGGGCTATTGGGCAACTTTGCAACCACCTCTGCGTCCCGCAACGGCTCAAACTTTTGTCCCGTTTTCCTGAGCATTTCGCAACTACCCTCCTCCATCCGCAGAAGCGTCCGACCGCCCGAACCCCCCGACGTCGATTGCCATCCGGCCCCGGAGCCAGCGAAGAGAGACACGGCACGAAAGCGCTAGCACAACAGGGAGGGCAAACGGTTGCGCGGATACAAGGGACGGCACGAGATAAATCCATGAGACCGACGGCCTTACGCCGCTGCTTCATTCTCGACCATCGCTGCCAGATGACCGACAGCTAGCTCTTGCGCGCGCAATGGGGTCCCTTGGCGGCATCTCCCCCGGGGGGACAATCGCCGTACGTCCACCTCCCCTTCATCTCACCTAGCCTGCATTCGTGACGGGCGACGCTAACACTTGAGCCTCTCTCCAGATCGGAATCATCGTCGGTCTCTTATCTACCAGCGTCCAGAGCCTCGGCCTGACGCTACAACGAAAATCGCACATCCTCGAGGACGAAAAGGGCCCGCATGAAATACGCAGGCCGCCCTACCGGAGGGGCAGGTGGCAGCTGGGAATGGGAATGTTCATCGCCGCAAACCTGCTCGGTAGCTCCGTCCAGATCTCGACCCTCCCTCTCCCCGTGCTGTCGACCCTTCAGGCCTCCGGCCTCGTCTTCAACTCGATATGCGCCACCCTGATACTCAACGAGCCCTTCACGCGCTGGTCTCTCTGGGGCACCATGCTCGTCTGCGCTGGTGCCGTGCTCATCGCCGTCTTTGGAGCCATCCCCTCTCCTGCGCACAACCTCCAGGAGTTGCTTGGCCTGCTCGGCCGCCGATCCTTTGTAATATGGATGATCATGCAGGCTTTGCTGGTCCTCTCCATCGCCATCACCATCGACTGCCTCGATGCCTTCACGAGCCTCTCGACCAATTCGCGATTCCGCTTCGTGCGCGGCCTGTCGTACGGCTGTATAAGCGGCATCGTGTCCGCGCACTCTCTGCTGGTTGCCAAGTCCGCGGTCGAGCTCATCATTAAGACGATCGCCGACGGCGACAACCAGTTCATTCACTGGCAGGCTTGGGTGCTGGTTCTCGCGCTGGTCACCCTGGCCCTCAGCCAGCTCTACTACCTCCACCGCGGCCTGAAGCTTGTGTCGACGTCGGTCTTGTATCCAATGGTCTTTTGCATCTACAACATCATTGCCATTTTGGATGGTTTGATCTACTTCAACCAGACCGACCTTATCAGCCCCCTCCGCGGCGGACTCATTGCTCTAGGCACCGCCATCCTATTATCAGGCGTGTTGGCGCTATCATGGCGCCTTAGCGACGAACAACATACACCGGGAGTAGGCCAGTCTTCCCTGGCGCCCGGCTTGGGTCTCGTGGAGGACACCGAAGACGAGGAGGAGTCCCTCCTTGGCGGCGACGACTTGTACAGCCTTCACGAAGAGGACGACCCTCTACCCGTAACATACTCAACATTTAACGTAGCGAGCGGGGAGACAACTCCACTTACGCCTAGCCGTCCAAAGAAGGGCAGGAGATGGCAAGAACGTGCCGAGATCTGGGGCGAGCTCGAGGATCGCGATACGTCAAGCCCGCCCATCTCGCGCAGGCGATCAAGCACGATGCCCGACATCACCGAGTCGACTTCCCTCCTCGGCCACCGCCGCACAAGCGGCACCCAACCCCAAACATCCTCTTCAGCAGAGGCGGGCCCCAGTAGCGAGTCCCCTTCGCAGCGTCGACCCGCAGGCCGCAGGCGGCGCAAGTCGACCGGGTTCCCGGGCTTCACGGCTCGCCGCCGCCGCAAGAGCCAGAGCAGCCAACCGTCCCTGCAGGAGGCGCTTGGGGGTATCTGGAAACTCAAGTGGTGGCGGGGGTCCGGCGGAGGAGACGAGGGTGCGCCGCCGAGCAGCAGCGGGAGCTGGCCCGCGTTCTTCCGCGACGAGGCGAGGCCGGAGAGCAGTAGTAGTGCTCACGGGCCACGGAGGGGAAACGGAGGCGGCGGTGACGACCGGGCCCAACAGCATGATAGGGGGCGGGGCGGCGGCGGCGGCCGGACTAGTGATGATTCGCCTGTATGAGTATTGGAAAGCCACTTTGTCACGTCATTATTCACTTTATCCTTTTTTTACCTCCTTCATTTTCTTTTCTTCATGCTTCATGCGAAATGTTGGCTGCCTCCTCCTATTTCTCCTCCTCGGCAGGTTGCCCCCTTTTTTTCATCGCGTGCCTCCCTCCGGCGTAATTCCCATGTGTACATTTTGGTGTGTGTGTGTGAGCGTGAGGCTGGCATGATGAGATTGGGTGACGGGTGGGCGTTTGTCCCTCTATTGTTTCATCTAGAGTATAAATACACGTGGGTTTCGGGGTATATTGTAGGATAGGATACCTGACCCACGTTCCGAGCTCCCTTGGCGAGACGGACTTTTTCGACAGTATGATATTCATTGACCATTCTTTTCAAAAGAAGAAATAAATGCGAAGCTTTGGCGAGGACTTTTTGTCTGTGAACTGTGCGATGTATGTGGTGGCTGTAGAGCTCATCATTTGAAGTCTCTCGCACGCTAGCCATTCTTGGCCATTTTCGATTCAAGCCTATGAGCAACGTTTATCTCTGCACCAAAGACCCCGTGGGATTCTGTTTATTTCAGAATTTAAGAGACAGAGTCCTGTGGTTAATTGTTTTTGCAATAATAGACGTCCTCCATTCAAGGTACTCGTAGGGAAAACGGGAAGAATATGCTGCCTGGCAGTACATGAGATAGTCCGGAGAATATCAACATGGCGCATTGGGTGCTGCTGGCACATGCCACTCAGAGAGGAGGCCTTCATCGTGGATGAGACGGTATGGCTGTCTCTACGGCCAGGACTTCCTCTTCCTAAAGAGCTTGTAGTTCAGCCAGGCAAATCCTTCCGCCGAGATGACCCGGGCGCAGCCTTCCATCCCCCAGCGCGACATTCCCAGTCCCGCTTGATCTTAGGGTCACTTCACTGCCCAGGACATTCAGCCGCTTGCTAGTAATCCCCAAGGGATGTCTTCTCATCCTTCTCGTTGTCCAGGTTCTTACATACGATTACTCAGGCTACAACCTGTGAGTTGGTCTTGAATGAAACCAGCAAGGCAGATGAGCTCGCTCGGCCTCTTGGCTTCCTTGGCGCCTTTTCTCTAAGATCTGCGTGAAAGCATGCTATCTGGATCTCGACCGTGGTCAAATTGGTGAGTTTGGCAAGGGCTTTGACGATGACATCTTGTCGCGTCAGACCGGCTTCCCTTTTATGATCATGGATCGGATCACTCGAGGACAGGGTGCTTCTCGGCAGGGGGACTTCGCCGTTGACAAAAGGGACCATCACTGGAGCCTGGATATGGAACACGTCGAGGTCCCTTCTTCTGCCGACAGGTTTCGGTGGTTATGGTTCTGTGGAGGACGATTCGCCATCCATCCATTCTGATTGCTATAACTAAACACAAGGCAAACTTCTTTCTCGCAATTTACGAAGTTCGCTCTTAGCACGAGGGTGGTTGAGGGGTGTTTCTGTGCACACAAATGTTCACCTAGAGATAGAATGGTTGACAAAGTTGAACCCGACTCGATTCAATTTTACTCCACGACAAATAACCGACGAATTTACAATTCAAAAGTGGGATCAAACACCGCCAGAAGTTAAGAAAGTTCCAAGCCTTCAACTCCCTACACCAGGCTCTGAGAGAGGTTCACAGCCCATCAGCGTTCTACGTGCGGCTCCCAATCTATCAATATCATAGTTCGCACTAGCAAAAAGACATGACAACGTCTCGCGGAAAGTGTATGTGACGGCATGCCAAGTACGGTAAGTTCGGCACAACGGAGACCATCGGGCTGACTCGTTAGCATCGGCCGTGTTCACGGTGACACGGAAGAGCTGAAGTCATCGGGGGTTCGTGCGTATACGTGCATATATTTCGGATGGTGGTGGGTTGCACTCTCTTCGGACATATTTGGCGGCTACGGGCATGTGGGAGGAAGGAGGCGGACCATAGTCGGTGGCGCCGCAGACTCAGCGGGTTGAAGGTTACGTCGTTTTTTCTTATTCTTTGACGGCTGGCTATTCTGAGGTAATGGAGATGATCGACATGTGCAACATGTGTCTGGCGGAGAGATGCAACGCGATTCCGTCATTATGAAGAAGAGTATGGGTAGAGGAGTCCAGTCGACAGCGCCCTTGATGCCGATGGAAGAAAATACTGTCACCTCGACGGAGAACGGCAACTGGCCAACTTCGCAGACCATAACAATTCATCAAAATACAACGTCCCTCTTCTTCCACATCATCCTCGAGATCGTCATCCAATCTACCCGAACCATCCATCTCGTCAATCTCCCGTCGTCGTTGTTTATGCGGGGGGTGGAGGTGGCCCAGATCGTTTATATCTCACGCACCGACGACAGGGCCCTCCGCCCGCTTCCATTGGCCAGACTCCTCATCATGAACCCGCTTAGGTTTACTTGGCACGTCTACCCCAGACGCTGTTCGTTCTATTTCGAGCGCCTATCAGTTTACATCTTGCCAACGACCTCTTGGATTTTGGTCTTGATTCGTTTATCTGGGCCTCTGGGGGCCTGTGGCAATAGATTGGGGACTTCTTGGCTCTCTTAGCTCTTCACGTCAACGTCGTCGCAGGTAAACATGCTGTAGAGTGACCCAAATGGATCGGAGATTGTGTATATATGCACTCTTCTCCCCTGGGAGGATTCTGTGTAAAGAGCTCCTGAACACACTCGGCTCTGGCCGAGTCGCTCACGGCTCAAATTGCATCGAATCACACACATATTCACATCACGGCGCATAGGAACGCAATGTATAGAAACAGGATTGACTTCCAGGGCAAGTTCCCCCCTTCTTACAGAACAGAGATAATCAACACTAAAAATCTATATATGATGTCCACACAAAAAAAGGGGTCTGAGAGAGGTAGGTTTGGAGAGAGGAAGAGACAAGTGGCCGTCACACAAAACAGACTTTCGCTCGAATATCTCCGTCCAGGTTTCGTTCCATACGTCAAGAGTCGTAGCCGTGTCCCTCGGATTAGGGACTGGCTCAGAGGATGCCAAAAAGGGGGGAGAAGGTTTGATTTCTTTTTGCCTGTCCACGTTGTCTAAGAAGGCGGGTTGAACATTAAGACCAATCAATGGCCGCGGGCGCGGAGCGGTAAGGCGATTTCAATTCAATCTTCCCCATCCGAAAAAGACAGAAAAAAAGGGGGTCGCGGTTTTGCTCTGCTTCCAAGTTTCCACAGCAAAAAAGTCGTCCAAGGAGAGACAAGAAATTCGGTTCCGATTCATTTGGCCTGCGGCTGTGCCCCAAAGGCAGAAGAAGGGGGACCCATGGAAGGCGCCCCTTAGAATCCACGGTAGCCTGCCTTCTCGTCGATGTGGCGATAGCGCTCGCGCTCCTTGCGGTCCTTGAGGAGCATGGCGGTGCAGACGACGAGGAGGGCGTCGATGCCGACCATGCCGAACACGGCGGTGAAAATGTTGTCGACGAAGACGTTGGCGAAACTCGTGATCGGGGCGGCGCAGCCCTTCTGGAGTGCGGCGGCGGCAGGGCTAGGGCACTGAACATCGGTGACGAAGGCAGGAGACGTGCTGTTGAAGTATCCGCAGCATTGGAACTAGCCAGTGTTAGTCCGCATTCTTTTGCTATGCAGTCGACGAGGGCACTTACAGCAGTCTGCATGAGTTCTTGGACGCTAGGGTCGGCGGCAATCCAGAGCTTGCCAAAGTCGGCCTTGGTGGTGAGAGTCGTGACCCAAAGGTAGGTTCCGAGGACCAGACTGAAGAGGCCGCAGAAGGTGACGAGATAGCCCGAGAGCTTGAGCCATCCACGGGCGGGAGTGATCATACCCGGGATGGTCATGAGGAAAGTGACGAAGATGAAGACGGCGTTGACGACACCAGCTGCTTATTGTTAGTGCTTCATGTTCCCACGATATGCCCGTCGCCGAACCATCGCATTGGCGCTCGAGTACGTACCGGTCAGAGGGAATTGCTTCGTGAGCAACTTGGTGGCGGCCTCGACGCCCTCTTTCGGCGCTTCGTTCACGGTGTTTTGGTTGATGAGGGAGTAACCGAGGAGAATGGCTCCGGTGATGACGAAGACTGCGTCGGCGGCCACGTAGGCCAGCAGCACCTTGTTCGCCATGGCGGTTTGCTGTCGTGATAATGAGCAGCCACGAGACCCGAGAGAGTTGTCGCCCGGAGAGACTTGGCTGCCCCTCAACCGTTCCAGATAATCCTCCTCTTAGATTGTCCTCCTCTTTCGAATAGATTTAAGATTTTTCGAGGTTTTTTGGTTGACGACCGGCGTCTTTGTTTACGGACTCAAAAGTCGTATGCGGGTTCGTCGGGGTCGATGTCGTGGGTAAGGACTGTCTTCGACCAGCAAAAATACACGAAACCTCCACGACCCAGCGGGGGACGATCGCAACGGTAAAATAAAAAGGTATAGAAAGAGAGAAGGTGACGAACCGAAGGTATCGCCAAAGAAGTGAATCAGGTCGGATTGAACGATTGTACAAGAAGATGAGTATGGCCAAAGGTCGCTCTCCAAAAGGAACCCAGCTTCGCGTAGGACTGGGAGGAGAAGAAGGGGAGCGAAGGAGTAGAGGCGCAACTGGAAGTCTGAGGAGGTGGAACGGGAGAGCGGCCGGTATCCACACTGCTGTCTCGGACGAGACTGAGACCTGAGAGACTTGAGCTGGCCAGGGAGACCCCAGAGAAGAATCGCCAGATTCTTGGTGGCAGGAGAGGGGCCCGTATCGAGAAGGGAAGTCAAGAGAGTGGACGAGAGCCAGTGAGAGGGCGACCAGGGGTGGGCGGCTCTTGGGTTGTCTTGGTGGTGGTCTTGGTCAATGGTGGCAGCGTCCGGTGGGTTACGTATTGGGGCGCGGCGGCAGGGACCCCTCTCGACTTTTCGGTGGCTCGAACAGCAGATGGGAGAATGAGAAACGCACCAGAAACAGCTGGGGACCAGCCCACCGGTGTCACACTGTGTCTAGCGCACTGGAAAAGGGGAAGAAAGGGAGGAAAGGATAGTGCGAAAAGAGACTGCCAGAGGGGGGGAGGGACTGTGGACGAGGAAAGGGAGGTCGTGATGATTCGAATTCCCTGACGAGACGTGTTTCAGGGCCGAGGGGCGCCCTCATGCAGGCGGTAGAGGCACGCGCCAGCGCAAGAGCCGTGCAGCCACCGATCCGGGGCTTGTGGCCAATCATGACGCTCAAAATGTCCAAGAGTCGCCTGATTGGGGTGGTCGTCCGTTTGGCCCCGTTGCTTAGGGCTGCTGCTGGCTGGCTTGGGCCTGCCGCAAGAAACCCGCTGACCTAAGGCCATGAAAGTCACTTTTCACTGCAAATCAGCACAAACGATACATCCTCCTGGTCCCAAGCACTGCCTTATGTAAGGTCTGCTTCCCACTTTCACGTGGTAAAGCATGGCTGATGCCTGCTACACCGGGGCTTACTTCAGCGGGAGCGACGATTACAAGGGAACCAAACGCGAACTGCACTGCTGAGTCTGAACGGACGACGGACTTACATCATCGTCTCTGGAGCAAAAGAGAAACAGGAGTCGACCAGCCAGCAGAGCCTCCCTCTTCTCTCCTCGAAGCCGTGCACCCTTAGCACGTCGAATATGCGCTGCACGGCATTACGGCACTTGCAGAGGAACCGTACGCGACATCAGCCAGCGAGACATGTCGCAACCGCTCGCCAAAATACCACTCTACACGCGCGTCCATTCTCCTTCCCTCCCGTTCATCGGTCAATTTTTCCCCCTTCACGCTTCACAAAACCACGGCTTCCTCCGAGCTCTAGCGCCCGGTGCCTCTCTCTCGTACGAATGACCCCGGAACAACTCTACGGATTGAGGCGAGGTTGTTAATTGATTTGCCCCTCATGGCACCATCTCGCCCAACCATGTCGCTGTTTTTCAGCGGCGGTGGCACGACATTACCGCCCGCCTACGTCCAATTTCCATACTCTTGGCTCCCCTGGTGAACCATGCTTAAAATGCTGGACACTTGCTACAGGCCGTCTCCACTACCTTACTCCGATCAAGGTGTGTGCCGGAGATGGGCGACTAAAAAAGGCGCTGTGGGCTTAGCCTGTGGGCTGCGGTTGCGGTGGTGCTCGGGAACGACGCCAGGGATCAGGGCCGTTAGTGCCATCTCGGGCCCTCTTCTCTTTTTTCTGCTGTCTCTCTTCATTTCGTCCGTCCGCTGCCCCGACTGCGCCGCTGAAGGTCCAGAGCCTCAACATGAGGAATGTGATTTTCATACACGAATTGCTTCCAGGTTTGTTTGGACGCCCAGACCTGTCATTCTCGCTTCTCGCTTCTGCTCCTTGCATCTCATCGCGTTGTCGTCTCCTCGCAGCCGCAGAAAACCCTCCAAGTGGGCATTAAATGCACAGCCGTTGACGCGCCTGAAGGCCCTGCATCACGTTTCGCCCAACTTGCGCTCCCGTTCCCGTTCCGTTGCGTGTGTCGATTCATGGGATCATGAGAAACGAGAGCGCGGGTCTCGGGAAACACCCAACTCCACCGGCAACTCAATGCCGTGCGCGGATAGGGCTACATTGCATCTTGCGGCTCATCTTCTTCGACTCTTGGTCTGTGACTGTTCCCACGTCTGACAATTTCATGGTTCGCTACCAAGATCGACTGCTGATTGCTGAGGGGCAATTCGTTTCGATTTGCACTTTTTTCCCCTGGAGCTGCACAATTGCACATTGTCTGCTCAGTCCTCACAAACAAGACCAGGCTGACTCGACGAAACAGCGAGGTCTGATTTCATTCACATATCCGGGAGAAACTATTAACGAGTTGTAATTGCTTTCAGTCGAAATTTTCATCGTACGCTAAAATGGACGAGACGTTCCTTTCGACCGTTGAGTCACTAAAAAAGCCACCCAACGGCGTCGGTCTGACGCTCACCGCCACATCTGCACAACACGCAAAAAGGAATGGGCCCTAACCAGGGATCGAACCTGGGACCTCTCCCAGATCGAACCGTCGAACTGACAACCCTAAGGGAGAATCATACCGCTAGACCATCAGGGCTGATTTTATTGATGCATGCTCGTCGCTCGTTGAGGTCGATTGGGCGAAAATTCACTCATGTCGGGCGCGTGTGATGTGGTGCGGTGGATTCGCACGACTAAGGGGAACGAAGACACGACAGGGATGGCCCCGAAGGACGGAATATCGGAACGGCCTGAGACAACTGCAACGGCTCCAATGGAGTGAGCAACCCGCTTCTGCCCATTCACCACCCTGCGCCACGTTCTGGCATGTCGGAGAATTGTCGATCATCTCGGTCTACTATCGAACTTCATGGCCGCGCTCACTTCCCTGCCCTAGCAGTTCTTATCTATCGTCAATTGCGCCCCCAACAAGTGCGCGTCCACACTAGCAGTATGGCAGTGAAGTGTCAGAGCAGCTCCCAGGGATGAACTTCTGGCCCGCCTTCGGCCGGTCGGCTTCGAAAAGCTGCGCCGAAGGGTCTAGGACTCGGTCGGTGATGTGGACAGTACCCTGGTTTTAATCCGTTAGTCAGTCATGCCGCGAGGGGTGACAGCAGCGCGTACCTTGGTTACCCTCAAGTCCCCCTCTGTGACTGTTGCTACGTCGTTAAGCCACAGCGTGCTGTCTTTGATCTGCGTCCCGATGTACAGATACGACCCGGCCTGTATCCGCGACGCTGTCTCGTTGAAGACGCTGATGTTGAGCTGCGTGTTGGGGATGTAGTGGTGCTGTATGAGATTGCCTAGCCACCACTTGCCCTTGGGTGTCGGTGTGAAAGTGTTGAAGTACTGGCCCGTGTGCTTTGCAAAGGCCTCGTTGGAAGGGGCGAAGAAGGTGAAGTCCCATGTGGGGGTTGTGTCGAATGCTTCAAGAAAACCTGCCGTTCATTAGCTTCATTCCTTGGGTAGCCGCGATGTGCTCTCAGAGGTTTTGTTACCTGCTGATCCATTCAGGACTTTGGCCAATTCAGTCAAGTCGCTTCTAGACTTGACGAAATCCAAGAGTGTGGTAACTCCGTCAGCTTTCGCGGGCACATACGTGCCGTCTGGCTTCGGGGCATACGATAGCGGCCGTCTATCGGAAGAGCCCCTAGCACAGACAACTCCAAAGACGATGAAGCCCAAGACCGTAGATAACTTCATGACGAGATTTCTTGAGGGCAAAGCCTCCCAGCCCGGGATGAAGGTTGGGCGGGAATGTCTATTTATGTTTTTGCATTCCTGTAGTCCTCCATCATGAAGAGAAGGTTGAGGCACATGAAAATCGGATCACAGTCTCCCGGGCCGGCGCCGAGCCCCGATAATCATCCCGGAGTTGCGGGGTACAACTTTACCCCGACATCCCTCGCAGATCATCGGCGAATCGGGACAACCCGCATCGGAGGATTCACCGGACGATTCAGGGGAGTGACGAGTTTGCTATGTGCCATATTTCTTGATATTTGTGGCTACATGCTGGTATATGAATGTAAATATCAAGATGAGCTGGCGGATATTGGACATTGGGTCTGTCTAATCTTGTCCCTGTCGCCGGCACCATGATTTTCTTGCTCTGCTTTCTCGTCACAGCTGCTGCTCCAACCCTGGGAGCTCCTGGAGGCATGGCTTCCCGGCCGCAGATGGGTAAGCCTATAGCGCAACACGCGAGCAGCATGGCAAACTGATGTTGCATCAGGATGGAACTCCTGGAATACATTCAAGGCAAACATCAACCAGTCCATCATCGAAACCACGGCCAAAGCCCTTGTTGACACGGGGCTTGCAGCAGCAGGCTACAAGTACCTGATCATGGACGAAGGCTGGCAAGCCGACGAACGTGCCACGGACGGGCGCCAAGAGTTCAACTCCACGCGTTTCCCCTCGGGAGGCTCAGCTCTCGTCAACCACATTCACGACATGGGCCTCAAGGTCGGGATATACAGGTGCCTGCGCTCCCCCCCTTTTTTTCATCACATTAGGCAGATTAACTGACATCTTGCCTGCTCAGCGATTCCGGGATCTTCACCTGCGGCTTCGCCCCCGGAAGCTGGGGCTACGAGGACCTCGACGCCAAAACCTACGCGGACTGGGGCATCGACTACCTCAAGTACGACAACTGCGGCGGCTTCCACGCGGGCACGCACACGCAGCAGGAGCGCTTCCAGACCATGTCCAACGCCCTCCGCAACACCGGCCGCGACATCTTCTACTCGCTGTGCCAGTGGGGACACCAGTTCCCGTGGTACTGGGCCGACCAGGTCGGTGCGGGGTCGTACCGCATGTCTGGGGACATCCACGCCTCGTTCGCGCAGGACAAGGCCGGCGTCTGCCCGACTGCGTACTGCCTGAACACGGGATATGCGGGGGTGAGTGTGCTGACGATGATCCGGAAGATGAGAGAGATCTCGCCGTTTCAGGAGAAGGGGCGGATGTCGTGGGCGGATATGGACATGCTTGAGGTTGGCGTTGGGAACGTCATGAGCGAGGTCGAGGAGCAGACGCACTTTTCGTTCTGGGCGGGGTTGAAGTCGCCGCTTATTATTGGTGCTGATGTGACCAAGATTCGAGTGCAGTCGTTGAAGGTTCTTCTGAACCGGGACATTATTGCCATATCTCAGGACCAGAGGGGCGAGGCGGTGAAGTATTTGCCGGAGTTGTCGACAGAGGGCAAGGTGCAAGTCTGGGCAGGGCCTGTCGACACTGGAAAGTATAGACACGTGGTGCTGGCGTTGAATTATGGGAACGATCTGGCAAATATCAATGTGCCGCTTGATGGCATCGGGCTGGAAAAAGGGTGTCCTGATGGGGTGAAGGTGATGGAGGTTTGGGCGGCGGAGGATGTGGAAGTTTTGGAGGGCAAGGTTTTGTTAAAGAACGTGGAGGTTAGGCAGACCAAGGTGCTCTTGATATCTTGTTGATCTCAAAGGTTTGATCATGGGAGATCTCTGTCTTTTGCGTCGATTACACCACTCGAGTATTGTGTTACAGTTTTGCATGGACTCGTTTTGACACGGCTTTACTCTTAGGATGCCAGGCGTTGAGCCCGAAATGATGCGAAGTACGATACAAGAAATCCACAAAAGAAGCTGGTAAAAAGGTCTAGAAATACGCTTCAAATACAAGATTGAGATTACTCAGTGACAGAGTATACTGTTAACTGTAAAATCGGTATGGTTATCTTCGCAGCTACCTATATTGTCTCGAATTGGTATGTGGGAAGAAACGCCCAATCACTTCCAAGGCAAGCAACGGGTTCAATGCTTCACGCTATCAGGAATGTAACCGTCATCTATGAAGAACACAGTACTGCTCTTTGGTTCTCTTTGGTTCTTTCTTTTCTCGCCACTTCGTTTTTAATCCTTCCTACAAAAGTAACCTGCACGTTCATTCCAGTACATGCTACCTCCCTCAAGAGCCTACCATATATCTAACAACCACACCAGGAAACTTTATCGAGCACTATCCGCTTATTATTCAAAGATTTCCTGTCGCGCCTTAACGCGGGGGATCCGAATTGCGGAAAGATGATGCTAGATGGAATACGGCATGGCCTCCACCGACCGGAGCCGGGGCATATACCGGAGCATTCTCCGACGGCGCCGATGAACACACTACCCTAGCACATCATCATCATTGACGATCTTTCTAATGGCCCGACGGCCCGAAATCTCTGCCGAGAACGAATCAGTGTTCTTGGCATGCTCTGCGGAGGGCAACAAGGCAAGTCGCGCCTAAGAGAGCGCTTTCTCGTGACTAAGTCCGTTTGGGAGGAGCGCCTACTTGAAAGGCTTGCCCCAAACATGAGAGTCTCCTGAGTTCCGAAAAATTCCAGCTTGGTCAAATCTTCGGCCGAAGATCTCTTTCACGTTTTGTGGCGGACTTGGCCTCTTTCGATTTGATATACAAGACTATGGCACCCGACACAGGTACAACTACTGGCGTCAAGAGAGGCCGTGCTGGCTTTGAATCGACGATGAACGGGACTGCTTCGGTAAGATAAGAGAATTCGTCTAGAGAAAAGATTTAGGACTTACATGACATCAGATACAGAAGCGCAACAAGGTCTACCATGAGCATGCAGAAGAGACAGACGGTCTAACGACTCCTCCCCTGTCAACGAACAGCAGCGAGATACCCTTTTCGTACATGCTCTTTTCTACAAAAGCAGCCGCCAAGATATGGGGTGTTGCCCAGCAGAGCTTTTCCTCAGTGAGCAGATGCAACCGCCCTCCGCAGGCTGGAAGTGGCAGGCTGACCGACTATTCCTAGCCCGCACCGCCAACTTTGTTTCCGGAGTACACCAAGCCAGGTGGTACGAAGTACGTCTATAGGGAGCTGGACTTCTGGACGTCGGGATTCTTCCCAGGATGTCTGTACCTCCTTCTAGAGCGACGACGGAAGCATACCCACCTGCTGAGGCATCTGGGACAACGCGGCGGACAAGAACCCCACCAGATGCATCTGGAGTAAGATTGCAATTTCTCAAAATCCGATTCCTTAATCTGACCCAAACTGCAGGTTTGCCTGTACATGGTGGACGGAAAACCTCCATCCCAACGCACATCTCACGACGACCCATGACCTCGGTTTCATGATTTTCCCATGGGCTCGCCCGGCGTGGGAGCTTAACCATGACCGACGGGCGTTCGAGTCCGCCATCACGGCCGCGAAGTCTCTCTATAGTCGATACGACAACACCGTCGGATCGATTCGGTCCTGGGACGTCTGCGTTACCAAGCGGTACAAGTTTCTGGATCCAAGCAAGGACTTTCTTGTCATCATCGTAAGGGATCCCCAACACAACCAGTCATCATCAGGAGTACTAATGGCCCCTCTAGGATAACATGATGAACCTCGACATGGTCTTCTGGGCTGCTGCCCAGCTCGGAGACCAGGACATGTACAATGCCGCTGTCAAGCATGCCGAAACGACCCGGACCCATCACATCCGCGAAGATTTCTCGACATTCCATGTGGTGAATTTTGAACAGAAGACCGGCGTGCCGAAGGAGAATATCACAAACCAAGGCTACTCCGACACATCCTCCTGGTCGAGAGGCCAGGCATGGGCCATTGCTGGCTTTGCGCAGACATACAGCTGGACTCGTGACGTCTCCTTCCTCGAGACCGCCATTTCTTGCGCGGAGTACTTCATCGCCCAGCTTCCATCCACTTGGATCCCTCCGTGGGATTTCACGGCTCCGAAGGACGAACCGCAGCCTCCGGATGTCAGTGCCGCGATGATCACTGCCTACGGCATGCTGTTGATCCACGAGGCCTTGTCTTCTCTCGGAAGAGAGTCGACGTACCTGAAGCATGCGATCAAGCTCATTCGAGCCACATGTAGTGTCCATATGAATGGTGGCGGTCGGTATCTGAAGTCGAAGAGGACGATCGACACCGTTGAGCATGGGACCGTGGAGGAAGATATCGGCTGGAACGTGGACGGGGAAGGTGAGCCTGAAACGATCTTGAACGGCGCGACCATCAACAACTATGAATTCGCACCGAGAAGATGGGCAAACCACGGGCTGGTGTACGCCGACTACTTCTTCTTGCTGGCAGGGAACAAGCTTCTAGAGATGGGGGTTCCAGAATTATTCGAGGAGCGTGCTTGAGTATACAAAGCAAGTGCATAGATCCAATAGATTGTGACCATGTGTATACTTTCCATATGAGATTATGCTACGTTGGGGGCAAAACAAGTCTTCTCCTAGTGATTGAAGGGTGTCGTTCCATGTTATTCCTTCTCCGCCGCCCCAGAAAACATGCTCACCCGTTGATTCGGCAGGAAAGAGTAGTCCAGGTAAGCGTTGAGGTCCTCAAATTCTCCAACCATGCTTTGTCCTCCATTATGACCATTCGGAACCCCAATATCGTAGTGATCGTAAGCGCCCATATGAGGTTGCAGGTTCGCCGGCACAGGTGATGGCATTGCGGTAGGCCCTCTGCTGGGGTTCTGAGCATGGAAAGCCAGAGGAAGCGGGGGGAAGGCCATGGAAATGCTGTCAGGAGACGCTTCTTGATCAAAATCCACAGCAGAGGCGCCGAATCCGTCCACATACGCACCGCCAGGCCTCGGAGAGAAGCCATTGTTGGGATGACCCGCCCCGGAACGGACGGCGCCGGGCGGCCCTAGACTGTTGCCGGACAGCGGAGAGGATATTTCGTGCCTGTCATCCGAGTATACAGCCTGCCTGATGTCCAACATGCCATGGCCTTGTTGACGAGCTTGGACAAGCCTCCCTGCAAACTTCGAAGCCAGGTTCTCCGACGTGTCGCCAGGGCCATTCCACCTCTTTGCTATCGTCCGCAAGCTCCCCACCAGCAAATCAAAGCCACCTGGCAGCGTCACGCTGTAGTAGAGTGAATGCGCCAGGAACATGCGTCCGCAGATGAAGAGACAGAAAGCAAATTGAGGACTAACGACGTGCTGCGAGTCCTGGAGAAACTTCTCGGCTATGATCGCGACCTCTGTAGCAGCTGCGAGACATGTTTCTGAGCTAGAGGCGGATGGTAATCGGATGCGGGTGGATTGCCATTCGGGCAATGGGTAGGCGATGCCCTGGTGGAGGAGAACAACAGCGGTATTGTGCGTTACGTGGGCCAAGGACAGATTGGGGTCCATGATCCCATCGTTGTTGAGGACGCATGCTTCACGCCATTGTTCGGGCAGGAATATCTTCCATCTGCTAGTGTCAGAAACAGCACGTATTTTGGCGCATCGAACCAGACTTACTGCACTAGACGCAAGTCAAGCTGCTTGAACTTCATCAGCCAGACCTGTATCTCATGGGGCTTTGAGACATCAATCGCTTGCTGGAGGAAGAATGACGTGACCAGACTCAGGCTTTCAGTGGCCTCTATGCAGTACGCAAACCCTCCCAGCGAGTCTTGGGCCGCTTCCTCTGGTCTCGCGGACGGGAGTGTTCCGGTGGCACCGCTTGACTGATCAGCGACACCGAAATACGGAGTCGGTGTCTGGAGCGGCTTGCCGGTCTCCCAGAGAGCACCTTCGCATGGAAGGCGTCTCTTGACATCTGCACTGGTCAATGAGAAGTTCCATCCAGTCGCAATGCTGCAGAACCGGTCCATTAGGAAGATGTTCCAAAACACTCGCCGCCTCTCTTCTCTTTCACTCCAAAATCGACAGGGTTTCAGGAACTCCATTCTCTTTATGAGACGTTTCGAAGCCGGGGGCTGGTCTTCGTCTTCCACGCTGAGTTGCAGCTGCTCCACAGTTCTCGTCATGCTTCCAACGATTGACTACAACATCAGCTTTGTGACGGGGAAACTGGCAGGATGTCTTACCCATGCAGAGGGCCCTCGGCCGCTTCCAATCTGTCAAGCCGCTGTCAGAACGTGTGACATATTTAGGGTGAGCTGATGGACTAACAGTATCAAACGCAATAATCGTCAACGCCTGTAAATTTTCCACCGAGAAAGATTCCATGCTGTTCAAGATAACGAACTGCCGACATCGTTTTGCGTACCGAGTCTTTTCCTCGGGAGAACCAAGACGGGCATCCTGGGAGAATCTCGCGCAGAGGCTCACAATGGCATGGAATATCGTACTCAGTTGCGGTCGTTGTTCGGGATCCAGCATGCGCTCGCGAAATTGGCGGACATGCAGCATCGGGATCCAGGGGTGGATATTCGCAAAGTAAATTTCAACAAGATTGTCCACGAGGTCCGCCTCAGGAAGTAGAGGATCACCAAACACGGAGTCCAGCTTGGCGTTGACGCGTGTATTTTCTTTGGGCGCTGTCGTCTGTGTTTCTGGATTCTTCGGGCGCCAAGCTGCGAGAGTTGCCATCGCCGGCTCCCCACCTTCAGCAAGGGTCGCGAGGGTGTTCTTCAGCGAAGCAGCCGTTTCGTTGAGCGACGGGTTTAATGACTCCTCTTGACTAGGACTGGAAGAGTTGAGGTGGGTTGCGGTGCTCAAGGCATTGAATACTTGCTGCCATAGGACTCCTTGGCCTAGAAACATGTTCTCAAGAGTTGCTGTGAAACGTCAGTCATCAAGTGAAGGCTTTGGCGAATGATCGGAAATGTTGATGGATACTCACCGACCCGCTGGCTGAGATTCTCGACAGCCCCAGTTCGAAGTCCTGGCTTGGACCTCCTGTCGTCGTACACGCATTCGACATCTGGGGTTTGATATCAGAGAATTGCTCCCATAGATCCTGGAGATATGAACCAACTGTATCGCACGCAGGCAGAGCAGGGTTGTCGTCTGGAACAGCGCGCTTTCTTTTTCCGACACGATTGACAGCTGAGATTCTTCGTGAGCCAAATCACAAGCGTACCAGAGTTCGTTGCGCGAGAAATTCTTACGCTGGGCCTTCCGTATCACAGCCATTCGTGTTCGAGTTTGTACGTCTCTTCTTGGACCGCGGCTGGCCATCTTCTTCACCGCCGGAGCGACCAGACATGGCCTCGTCATCGTCATCGAACGCCATTGAACCCGAGACCACGGAAATCACAAAGCACTTGAGGCTGGTGAATGGAGTTTGTAGGAGTCAACATTTTGATAATAAAGACGTGATCGGGCGAGCTATCCAAGTTCAGAAAGGGGTGCCGTTCGATCCAAGCTAAGTTGGGGATCGAAACTCGAACGTGGGGAAGATGTGCGGGGAATGCAGGCCTGTCACAAATAACATGCCACGCTGATGGACCGCTGAGAGAAAGCCACAGCGGGTTGGACCCTTGCTACGCGTCCTGTGATTTCCGCTCGTGCACTCGCTGTAGCTGTGCCGATAGCCTACATGATAGCTTCCTTGAACGGACGAACAAATGTCCACACAAGATTCTCCCACGAGGATTCCAACAAAAGTCTCTTCCTAAGAAGCAGAAGGTTTGGCCAGAAACGTGACTAAGTAAAAGTCCGATTCTTTTGTATGGCTAGTCTGCCCTCTGCCACCGAGCCAGTAGCAAGACGCAGCATGTCCGGGACACGAGAGGTTCTTCGACGTCTTCAGGTCAAGACCTCGGTTCAAGTGCTGCTTGCCATCAACCGCTCCAACCAGGAATCACCATCACATACCACCAGCCCATAAAGTTGTAGTACAGGAAAAGATTCACCAGCCAAGGGGGCAGCAAACAATTTAGCGGCAGCCAAGTTTGCATTCTGAAAGCTCTGAGGCCTAGGTGGCAGGCCCAATGCAAGGCAACACCCGAACGACGATCCGCCCACCTTGAACCAACCCCCCGTCTCCGGGCACCGGGGTAGGTACCGGAGACGTGTCCGAGCAGCCATTCCGCCCGCGTCGCACCCCCGGCATCACCATCAGCTCACCTTTCTAGCGCGAGGAGCTTCTCTGACTCCGCCGCTCCGGATTTGCAAAAGTTGGGGTCCCCAGAAAGTCTAGCATCGTCTGCATATAGGAGGCTCACTAACCAGGTCAAATCCGGGGTAAAAGGGGGCATGGAGACACACGACCAAGCCATTTCGATATCTAATCACTAGAGACCTCACCGGATCCACGGAACCCACTCACAAGACATCATGAAGCAAGGTACACCGGCTCAGGGAGGCAGCGCCATTACGCCTGTCTCTGAAGTTCCCGTCGAGCATCGCGAGGGAGACAAGGAGGTCAGCCTAGTGTATTCCGAAGGACACCCTGACAACACCACTAACAACATTTTGCTAGACCCATGAATATGCCGGCATGACGGCAACCTATGTCGATGAGAAGAAAAGCAGAGAGTTGTTTTGGATCATCAACCGCCGCATTCTGGCCTGTATGCTGGGCACCTACTTCTGTCAGTCTCTCGACAAGGGCACTCTTGGCTTTGCTTCTGTGATGAACATTAGACAAGATGCTGGTCTTACGCACAATAACCAATTCAGGTGTGTCCATCTTACTAAGAAAGCTAAAGTCAAGTGTTCTGACATTACCGCAGCTGGCTCGGCACCATCCTCTACATGGGCGTGTTGGTCGGAGAGTATCCGACCAACATGTTGCTGCAGAAGTTTCCGGTCGCCAAGTATCTCTCCGTCAACGTCTTCTGCTGGGGCGTGGTCATTGCCTGCTCTGCCGCCGCCAAGAACTTTGCCGGGCTGATGGTTGTTCGGTTTCTGCTCGGAGTCTTTGAAAGTTGTGTCCAACCTGCCTTCATCATCATGTACGTGGCTCTTGATCCTCGAAACTTTTGTTGGATGTGCTAACATACATGACAGGACTTCCATGTGGGTATGCTACTAACCCATTTACCCCCTGAGCACCCAAGTTCAGCTAATCTAATTCGCGTCCGCAAGTACACCAAGAGAGAACAATCCATTCTCACATCGCTTTGGTATTGCATGACTGGTGTTCAGTTGATGGTATGTATTACGATATGCTCTGACGGCTACTCGAGATTAAGTTCCCCAGTATCTAGACTTGATCGGGATATCCGCAGACAAACACGATGCCCTTCAGGATTACGAAGTCAGCTGACACAACCACAGGTCGGTGGCCTCATCGCATACGGCGCGTCGCACTACAACGGCCACGACATCAAGTCGTGGCAGTTGCTTTTCCTCGTCCTGGGCGCCGCAACCTGCGTCTGGGGCTTGTTCATCGGGTGGTGGCTCCCCGACTCGCCCATGGCCGCGAAGTGCTTCAACGAGGACCAGAAGCGTCTTATGATCGAGCGTGTCCGCGCCAACGAGACCGGCATCCAGAACAAGACGTACAAGCGCTACCAGATGGTAGAAGCCGTGACCGACCCTGTGGTCTGGTGCTACGTGTTGCTCCAGGTCACTTCGACCTTGATCATCGGCGGGCTGGGCGTCTTCTCCAACTTGATCATCTCCTCGTTCGGCTTCACGTATCTCCAGACACAGCTTCTGAATATCGCCCAGGGAGCGGTCACGATCATCGTCATGCTTGGTAGCGCAACGCTGGCGACCTGGTCGAAACAGACTGCTTGGGTTATGCATGTAAGTCGGCGTCAACATACCATCTCTCCCCCATCATGACCTCTTGTACTGACACCGCTTCCCACAGGCTTGGACAATGTAAGTCCTAGATCTCTCCCTTCAAGCAGAAAACTAACTCGCATCCAGCCCCGCGATCATCGGCACAGCGGTAATCTACAGCATCCCGCCGTCGGGGTCCAATCGCATCGGCCTCCTGATCGCCTTCTACTGCACTCAGTTCTACCTCGCCGAGGGCAACCTCATCTTCTCCCTCATCTCCCGCAACATCGCCGGCCAGACCAAGAAATCCACCACCTTGGCCATGACCTTCATCGGCTGGGCCGCGGGCAACATGACGGCGCCCCAGATCTTCCAGGACAGCGACGCGCCGCGCTACCGCAAGGGCTTTACGGCCCACTTCTGCCTCTACGTCCTCTTCAACCTTTTCCTCGTTCTGATGCGGTTCCTGCTTGTCCGCCGCAACAAGGCCAAGCGCACGGCTGCCGCCGCCGCTGCAGACCCTTCGAGCATGGCCGGTGAGGAGATATCCGAGGATGGCAAGGCTGGTGTCAAGGGGCATGGGGGCGAGGACGAGAAGATTGAGCATTCGAACGCTTTTGCGGACTTGACGGATAAGGAGAACCCCGATTTCAGATACGACTTTTAAGGTGACATGTCTTCAGCATTGGCAAGTAGGTGTCAACAAACAGAGAGGGCTGTAGGACGATGGTGAGTGTTTCCGGGGCAGCATGTATGAAGAAACGAAACTATGTGGTTTCTTTCAATCATAACCCGCAGATGGACTGAAAGTAGAAGACAATCATTCAGTCTGCGAGAATTAGCAAGTTTACTTCTATGCAGCATCAACTTCTCGTCCTAATAATGAGCATATAGCCCCACAACTGCTCGGTTGTATCAACCCTCGACAGTGTTTAAGTATGGGATCTATTGTCCATGTTTGGCTCCTGATCCTCAACTTGATCTTCGTGGTCATTTGAATCCCAGTATTGGTAGTTGTCATGAATGCCTTTGTAGACAGCGAGCTGACCTTCCTTTGTCTTGCTCGACATTGGAGTAGGATTCTGTCTTTGAATTGCCCCTCGTCTACACGGCATCGTTCGTCTTTAGATTGTCTCTCAACTGCCTTTTGATGCTGTATTTTTTCAATTATCCCGGCCAAGGTTATCATCAATTTCTCGCCGATTACTTATCTTCGCCGCTGTCCTGCTCTCTGCTGTCCCTCTGTTTGACAACCTCTCTTTCGGCATTTCACTCCGGAACACTTCTTTGCTTCAGACTCTGTGTCATCTCATTGCTTATATACCATGCAAGATGAGACAACCTCGGAAAGTCAGCAACAAATGGTCAAAGATGCTTCAGCTATCGCCAACCAACACTGAGCCTTGAATTATATCAACGAACACATGCAACCAAGCACAGCGTGAACGTGACATTCGGCATGTGAAAAAGACCGTAGCATATCACCTTCCCTAGAAGAAGACGCTTGGCCAATTCAAGATGATTTCGCGAAGATATCATGCACTTCGTTTCCCAAACGCCAGAGACCTGGGCCGTCTGGAGTTAAAAGACAATGCAAAGCCACCAAACAGAAGCTTGATACAGTGACAGGAACCATCGTCATTACAGACCGAAAGATTTGGCAGCTGCCATGCCAATGCTGTCGTTTTTTTAGCGCGACACCCTTATCAGCCGCCGAGGTTTTTCGGTCTCTTCCTCTACGAGAGGGTCGAGGCATGAAACTTGACGCAACATGCCAAACAGCCCACAGCAAATCACCAAAGAGAGTTCAGAACCAGAGACCTGGGACAACTCTGAGTTGCTTACTTTCCCAGTCAAACTCAAAGCAATGACACCGCTGTCAGAGGGAAATTTAGGCAGGCTCGGGCGGGAGCCAGGGAGGGGGGCTTCAGTGAGGAATGACGTTCTTGGGAGCGTGTGGTCTCTGCCTCTCCGCCGTCAACTCAATTTTCGGAGGTCTTGAGATGAGAGAAAGTCTAGGGCAATTGCTGGCTGTACGATCTCCTTCGGAAACGTCCACGAAAGAGGCAACCCTCTCGCAATTGTCACGAGCCAGCTGGCGAAGAATGCCCCAAAGAGGTTAAAGGCGTTTGCGCGCCGGCGCGCACTTGATGGACTGTCACATTGACCGGATGAAGACGGTTGAACACAGTCTGGAGGTTACGACACATGCTCGGACAAAGCTCTCGCTCAGGGACTCGGGCTGATACCGAAACCGAGACTCTAATCGGCATCATCTCTCTATGTTCCTAGCGATGCGCTGAAGGCCTGAGAAATTCTGGCATGAGATGAGGGCATATTTCGAGTTTGAACGTGAAGCGAGAGACTCGCCACTGTGTGTAATTACATGCAAAGTGTTTAGAGGCATTCCGGCGAAGTGGCGACATGCGACAATCGCTATTTTGGAAGACGTTAGCCGCATGAAATGGGTCCGGGAGCAATAAACGTTTGTCAGCACCGTCGTCTTCGGAGATGCTTTTTACATCCGTCAAAGGCGGAAGAGGCAGCCGAGCCAAGGCTTAGGATCTGTCGAGGAATCTTTAAGCAAGACCGGGGCTGCGGAGTGAGGTTGGACCCGGAGCTGTGGAGATGGCACCAGGCGGGGTGACACACGGGGCCAACAGCTGCAGCAACAGTGTCTGAACAGTTTGAGGTCGCCGACCCCTCGAATGAGCAGCTGTTCGAGAAGATGCATGCTTCTGCACAGTTCTCGCCAATCCGAATTCATCGATGGCGAGGGGTCCGTCTGGAAGTGAAGCGTTCGCGGGATTGACAGCTCAAGGGGCATCCTCTCTGGATCCCTCAGGAACCGCTAGCAGCACGGTCTTTTTGACGACAGTGCACATGCGACGCGTACTGGACTGGGGCTAGTTGGCCATGCGATCGTCCCAGAAACGTATGGTTCAAGGCCATGGCCGTTGAACAAGGCAGCCCGCCAAGCTGGATTCGTTGTCCATAGAGAGCATAGCGTGATCGAACTCGGCCGATAGACTTGGACAACCGGGGCCGTGAATTTCATGGAAGAGCGGGAATCGAATTATCGTTGACTACACGCGCCCATCGAGGGTTTGAAAGATGCAGATTCTCCTCAGTGGCGGCAAGGCCTATCAGTCCTGTCGGTTGGTAGGCAATTTGAAGCCCCCAAACCTGCCCTGCAACATTCCTTTTTTGGAAAGTACTTCGCAGAAGTAATAGCCACACGGGCCTCGTCTCTTGGATGGGTAATGGCTTAATCTTCTGAGCTGAAGTCAGCGCAGTCAGCCGTGCCACATCCGCGGCGAGATGCTGCTTGTTCAGTTGCTAAGATGACGTTCGTAAATCAAGACAGCTCCTTCGTGACAGTAATGATAAGATTGATCCGGGCCGAGTTCGTATGATAGTTCAAGACATCAGCAAAGGGACATAGCCCCTCGGAACTATGCTTCATAGGTTCAAAGGTTGCGTGAAAACTTGCTCGCTGCAAGTGCGTATACCAAGCTAGAGCATGCAAGTTGACATGTGCGCACACCGCAGTTGCCCGATGAGCAGGGCTGCGAATCTCAAGGACCCCGGAGCTCCCGAGATAGGCCTGAGAGCCGCTGAGATGGCGCATGGAAGGTGCGAAGAGGTTGATGATGAGATGCCACGTCTGTCACAGTCTGCTACCTGTTCTAGGCCTGGGTGCGTGTTGTGCTGTGGTGGTCCAGCCCCCAGCTGACAAGTGAGGCCATCCCTGGGGGAGAATATGACAATAGACACCAGACGGTCGTTAACGGGCTCAGATCCCACAAGATTGAGTTCATGCACCTCGCTCAACTTGTAGCATGAGCCGGGTTCTGAGGAGAATTCGGCAAGCGCAAATCGACAACTCAGGGAGCGAGATTGCGATGATTCCCGCGAAGCACTATCGAGTGCCAGTGACTAGCCCCAAGCCGAGTCGAGGCCTCGATGCGGGAGCTTACAGGCCATGGCGTTGAGCGTGTCTGCGCCGAAGGAGTCTCTTTCTGCCGCGGGGATGGACGTAAGACATGGGGGCACGTAGGCGGGCGCTGGTGCGTGAAGACGGAGAGGGTGTGAAGGCGGGAGAAGGCGCTGCGAGATGTGAGCTTTGAACCCAACCAGCGCCGTGTTCGACGCAAGCGAAACGGGCATGATGGCATCCCGCAAACGAATACTGCGTACATGCTTTTCGCATGCATGACCTAGGGAGAGACTGAGGGTCGATAAATCGACAAACGTGCTGAGCTCGGGGTCATCCAACGAAACGAAACGCAGAGTGAGTTGCAGTCCGAAGTTCACCGGGGACCTGCAAGGAAGCGGGCGGATGTGATGGACGGCGTCCTCCCGGGGAGTGGGGAGTAAAGATGGATGCGATGCCCTGGATGTTGGGTTGGCGGCAGCAAAGAAAAAGGCACTGTGAAGGTGCAAGGAGCTGCTGTGAGGTCTTGCAGGAACGTGCAGGCAGAGAGGAGCAGCGAGCAGGGTATATGGTGGTGAGTGAATCAGGCGCGAGGTGCTTCACCGGAATCTCTGACGCAGGACCCCTAGCTAGCCGCCCGGGGATATGGAGTCACGTGCACGGAAAAGGCCCGGTAAGACTGGGTTTGACTGGGGAAGGTGCAGGGAGACGCAGGGAAGGCGCGGTAACGGTAGGGTAGGTGCCGCAATACATCCATCCTACGGGCTGGTACTGGGCGACGTACTGCACTATGTACTTCTCCGTCCCTTGCCCTTGGGGACTCGTGGGCCTCCTAGGCCTCCTGGGAGGAGGAGCTGGGAGGAGAAGGGCCCTGAGCCTTAAGGTATTTTTTCTTTCTTTCCTTCCCTTCCCATCTCCTCCTCTAGGCTCCTACACGTGTAGGTAGGCTCCTCTCGATCGGCAACAGCTCGCCAGCTTTCCGGGACCTGGGATGGATCTGACATGGACTGACGGGACGCTGGTCGTTGTCGCTGTCGCCGACGCCGACTCCGACTTGCGCCTGAGGCCTGCAGCCTGCCGCATGCTACCTACCCACGCGCTGCTCCCCCAGCCCATCTCATCTCATCTTTGGATGTCTCGGGACGTCTGGAGCGAAAACACACTGTGAAGCTGTAAGCTGTTGAGGGTGTTGAGGACATGCACAAGGGCGGAAGAGAGAGGCAGTGAGTGAACGCTACGCACTGCCGCAACATGTTTCCAACGCCGCTGCAGAACGCTCGCTTCCTGTTCCAACGGTTGTCCTAACCTCAGCCCTCAGCTCGCCCGAGAGTAAGCAGGGTGATTCCATTGGCGACAGGGTAGGTATGGTCAGCGGTTGACCGCGGCCGGTGCTGAGGAGACGAACGGACCACAGAGCAGACCTTGCCGCGACTTGACACCAAACGCGCAGCGCAGCGCAGACCGCAGGGCAGGGCAGGGCAGGTTCTTTGCGCGCCCGAAGTCCGAGTTCGTTTGATGGTTGATCGAGGCTGGACCGCATGCCCTCAATCTGTCTCCTTCTCAATCTCAGGTGGCTCGCGCGCTAGAGGAGAAATAGCGTGCTGCACATCCGGCCCTGGTCCCGGGAGATGGAGCGGTATGGGGTCGTGGATAAGATTGATATTGATGTTGATGTTCATATGTCAGGTAGGTATGTGTAAGTGAGGCATCCGCAACCTATTAGCTTCCAG